ACTCTTATTCTTTGGAATCACCACGCATTGCAACTAGAGATTACCCAGTCTTACACTGAAATTCTGTTATTGAATTTATTCTTCGCTGATAATCTGTGGGAAGATAACGCGGTCTCTCTCTGACCATCCAACCCACGAATGGTTCAGAAGCTGAGAAATCTCCAAAATATTTTCTGTCGCCTTTCTGGCTATGAAAGCACTCACTACTGAAAGCCAGTATTCTGTGCGGTATGGCGTCAGGATAGAACAAGTCTAGTCTTTTCGTTAGAGGTTTCTTGGATGCCAGTTTTCTGGCTCCGTTCATCCGCACTTACCCAATCTGAATTTGCAACCTTAAAAGTGAGAACGCGCTTACACCTGTGGATTACGTGGTTTACCTGATACCCTTAACTGAAATGTCTCCAGGGTATTTCTGCACTCATCCGAATAAATGCCACCGGAATATTTTATTACTATGCGCAACTCTGATAAAATTGTGTTCGTCGGCCGAAAATATCCGGATGATTGAGTCTTCTCGTTAGGTTTCTTAACCGTTAATTGTAAAACTCACATAAATAACGGGAAGAACGCATTTATGCCCCACCTGTTGCCGACGGAAAGTGGAGTGATATCTACTTTATGCACGTTCTTGATGCAAGGTTTGTTGCATTCAGTAGCCCAATTTTTTTGCATATTTGGCATGACCTAATTACCAATACATGTTTTGTAATTCCTAACACGCATCTTGTACACGCATTCATCTGCTATTGATTGCCCTCACCTGTATGGTTGAGAGGGTTGAACAAAGTAAAAATTAAAACCCTCAGTCAATATATGGGTTAATTTGTTATCAAACAGCTATTTTAACCACCAATCTTTCTGCTGGGCAAACCAAAAAATAATTCACAGCAAGCTAATAATACGAAAAAATCTGAAAAAACGCCGGAAAGCAACCACATAGGTAAAACTGAAACAATTTCTCAGTCTAGGTATCCATAATTTCAGTGATCCAGACACGTCTCGTATTATTTGAAACAACAGAATCATTTAATTATTAAACTCGTCTGCGTACCAATTTGGTTTTGACGAAAGACTTACCTGGAACCAGCTGAATACCTTGTTTATGTCGAAGAGTCTTCAGCAAACAAATAAATATTGTATTACGTTTAGACAGGGTCAATGCTTTTGCAAAACTCACATTTGACGTTTTTCAAGTGTCCATCCAACTGAATTATGTGAGCGTATAAAAATGACTGATCGTAAGAACCGTAAAATTTTATGAACCTAGAACTCTGGCTGTATTGACAGTTAATGTGTTCGGAAAGCATACCAATGAAACCACTTCAGACGAAAAAAATCAAGCAACAATGTAAACACTGAATATCCACACTCGAGCTTTGTGAACGAAACGAACTGAGAAGTCTATTTGTGAAGGCAGTAACTGAATATGAAGTTCAAGTTTAATTTTCAACCCTGAATATCCATTTATCACAAGTGAAGTTTCTGAAAGGCCATTCTATATAACAGTGCTTTGAGATCGGAGGGATTGTAGAATATGCTTCTTTATAATCAGACATCTCTCTTGTCAATTCTGTACTCAAACAGAAACCTAAACACCTTCCAACTTCATGTATTTGTTTCGTTGTTCAATTGGTCGCCGTTCATGACTATTTGAGTTTTCCCAACCAAGGTAAAGAAAGATGAATAATGTGACGGTCGCCGAAAAAAAACCTACGTTTTGATGCTGCTGGAAGTACTAACTTCTCAATTATGTGAATTTCACACAGAACAATTAGTAAAAAGATAACATACTGATTAGGTATCTTTTCAACCATAAGGGCTAAATAAAGGGGTGAGATAGGTATGAGTGCTTCGTTGCCACAGCTGTCCAGCACTATGGTGTTATATTGGTTGGCATAGTGCATTAAGTAAACCATGCTACAGTGCAGCACTTTTATGGTGCGTAGCATACTTGTAGTATACTTCACCAAGTATAATGTGGTGCTTTGAGTGATTGATGTTGATCTGACCGCACAGCTTAGCAACTGAACGGTAAGCGTTTCGTCATCAACAAAGGAGATCTCATCAGCGCGCTTTTGGGTGGGTAATTCCTCCTTACCCGGGTGCGTACCTGTTACTTGTATGTGATTGGCTGACCAAAAGAGAGCGTTCTCATGTGATCATTGATTCGTTTGTGATCCGTGTTGTGTAGTGTTTTGCCTTCCTTCACCTTGAGTAGCTTTCTTGGTAGCACCTACTGTTAATCCTTCCTAATTTTGCTTTGCACTGTGGTCTGACATCCAAGTTAATTGGCTCGTTTCATCGCTTTGTTAGTTTCAAGAGGTTCAAACCACAATACGAAGCCAAATGAGAACAAGCCAATCGAAAGAAGGGAATAGAACTGCTGAAAGCGAGTATAAGAATAACCAATCGTATCTAAGAAGTTGGGCCACGAAACAATAGAAACCACACATACGTGCCAATGAGTGCACTGGAATGTTGTTTCTTAATTCACAAATCATGTTGAGATTACAGATCTCAACTGCCATTTAAACGCACGCGGTTAAAAAAGGAACAACTACCAAACCGCAAACTGATGACGTACCCTAGTTTGGTGACGAAAAGTCCAACTGTCCAGCTCTGAAAACAGATCACCAAGCAACCACTTGATCAACAAACAGCTTTTGCAATAAGGATCATTTGTTCTTTCTGGCTTTTAATCCGCCCAATCCCATAGGAACAGCCCTAGCTACATTCACGACCACCGAAACAGTGGACACTTTGATTCCTTTTTCTGGATGAGCGGCACAGGATATGATTGGGTTCAAATCCTATTAGCCACCGCCTTTCTTTGTTAAAAAGTTCAACGGCATAATCCACTGGGCCACAAATGCGAAGATGTCAGTGAGCCGGAATTCCACGGAATTAGCAAACCTTGTCTTTGCGTTTCATTAGACTGATTGTCCTTTGGGCTTTGCATGTCTGCTAGTAAAAATCTGCCATCTGCACATCGGAATCGGAAAGTATATCTTATCTACGCGTCCACAGAAAGGATGAAAATAATGATAGCGTTTTTCCGTGAGTTTTTGCGCAAACGTGTAGCTAAGCAACCGACAGGCGGAGCTAAACAGTTTTGTAATGCTTCGCCGGTCATAGCCGGTCATAAGCATTCGTGACAAACGAAGTTGAACGAGGCTTCACTGCACACGTCATTGTAAAACTTTATAACGGCTAAGCTTCTGCTGTGGTCGGATGAATGCTATCTTGTACCTGAGTTAACTAAAAGCCTCTCAACTAACAGTGACAATCTACTTGACCGCATTTCGTTCTGCGTCACAACATAGCCTGCGCAAAAAGCAGTATGCGGCCAACTTTCCAAAAATAGTTTCCTTTTGCAAGTGATACAAATAAATTGGAGCTGGTTCATCCTTCTAAAGTCTCTCTAAGATCTAATAACCTGTGCTTTATTATTCCTTCACCCGCCGTAAAAATCTCCAGATTCATGGTCTGGTAATCACCAGGTGCTTTATAACTACTGAGAGAAGCTATGAATAATTTCGACCACGCACCTCCATACTATCAAAAAAGCGTGACGTGCGTGCTAGAAAACCAAGTGAAATTTACCATTTTCTTTTTACTTACTAGCCAGTGGACACAAGTGACCATAATCCATGAATAATCAGGCCATTGGCAAAAAGACTTGAATGGCTCACCATAAGCTAGTTTCTGACAAATAAGATACCTCCAGTTGGATCCATCTAGATTTCACAGCTCCACAAAACCATTTGTTCCAATGTTTGCCATATTAACGAAGTAAACTGTGCCTCTACGTCACCTCTTACTAACCTGATTTGCAAAAGAAACTAAGGTGGCAATTTCAAAAGGTACTAATAACTTGCCATTATCTGTCCATAAATTCCAACTACTACTGTGGATGAAAAAAGCAATCAAAATTCAAAATGAAACTATCCAAACACGTTCTGAGGACGGGCTGCAAGAAGATCGTCGATCTACTGTGAATCTTGATACAAATAAAACGGATCGTTTTTTTATGGTAACGATAATATCTTGGTTCTGAGCTTCCTTGGGAAGATTCAAGCTTTTAACTACGCATTATGTAGTTCCCAGGAAAGGAAGACCATGGAGGGGACAGCTACTACATTCTAATGGTAAATTATATGTTCACTAAGTGATGAGTTGAAGAATGTACCGACTCATGCTACTCATGCTTAGAGCCTTGAGTCTTTGTCATGATAAGTTACTCGTTTGTGTTGGTTTTTCAGAGCCTTCTTATAGATCACGTCAAATGCCACGAAGTCTAATGGACATCTGACCTCATCAAGGCATTTAACTCACTAATTACCCAAAATAAGCCGTAGATTCTTAATAGCTGTTTTACCGGACAAATGAATGACTGAGTCGACCATCTATGTCCCGTTTTGCCTACTCATCAAGTCAGTCGGGATGATAAACTGAGAAAAAGTTTGGAAAGAGTTTGATTTTACCAGGTCTACTACGTGTTGGTGCAAGCAACGCAGCTCACTTCTATCGCATGGTTTTTCATCCAATGACAATTTTCACTACAATCGCTTATGCATAATTGGTATCGACAGCTACACACAACCAAACCTTTAGGCTCCGTCATAACTGGTTGGTGAAAAAAGTAAAACCTATTTGGAAAATCCTGCTATAATGACAAAAGGGATATCGTAGGCGTGCTGTTTAACTGTAATACTCGAATTGCCGTATACATAGCGACGCTACGTTTTTTAGTACGAGCTGATTACAGGTCAATAATCCCTGGATTAGGCTTAGGACTTGGATCTTTCCAAGCATGTGACCTCCAGTAGAATTTGTTATTCGCTGCAGACCAGTAGCGATCAGCTAGAAGTATATCTATTCCAGTAATTGGCCTGCGGTGGAAAGCTATGATTGGTCAATTTACTTGTCCGACCTCCGCAGACTAACCCTACGCTAGTGAAAACGGCCTTCTCATAATATTATAAAACCTAGTTCGTTTAATGACTTTGAAAGATAGAAATACTCAATCCTACACCAAAGTTGTAACGCCTATTTCAGAAATGAATATTTCTACCTCATTGATTCAAGTCGTCAGTTGTACGGATATCTACCCCGTGTGGTCCTCGCTTATTTTTGCCTCATTCGGGCTTATCATGTTACTGGCCGTGTGTGGGAACACCGTGGCCTTGATCATTTTTCTCTGTCCTTCGTCCAAATCACGCATACAGAGGCTTCATTCCAGACGGATAACTCTGGAGTCTAATATGCGTACAAAGTTCAAAGTGGTCACTTCCTCATTTAGTAGTGACGAAGGGAGGTCCCAAGTGCCTCGCAAGACAAGTGACTCTGTTGTTAAAAATTCTGGCTTGTTAATATTGCACACTCACGGATCGTTAGTGCGCAGACGAGCAAGTTCGTTCAACTCCTATCTCTCCAGTTTGGCTGTTTCGGATCTTCTCATGGCTGTGTTCTGTATTCCGTTTACTTTTTCGCAGATATGTCTGGGGTACTGGCTGTTTCCCCCCATCCTGTGTCCCATTGTCGTGTATGCTCAACTTCTGATGGTCACTGCTTCGGCTCTAACCAATACGGCAATCAGTTTGAATCGGTTATGGGGAATATTACATCCACTAGGGACTGGCCAGGATTCATGCTACAGGAATCCATTCCGGCATGCAGCAACACATTTGGCCTGTGTGTGGCTCATTGCGATTTGTGGAAGTAGTGTACAACTGGTAGTTACGCGGGTGCCTCAAGAGCCGTCCTCCCTACAGGAGTGTACTGAAAGCTGGAGTGACGATAGAACCAAACGCGCTATTTATTCGGTTGTTCTGTTTATCGTTATTTACCTGCTACCTCTCAGCATCCAAATAGCAGCCTATGGTTTCATCGGTAAACGGCTATGGAAGCGAAATATCCCTGGCGAGCATGTAGCAGCCATTGAGTTAAGTCGTTTAAAGCAAAAAAGAAAGGTGAGTTGATTATCCAGTCGCCCTAGGTTTTTAATACATTTCTAATCTAATCTAATTTATCAATTTTTATAGGTTACACCATACTTTTAAAGTTCACTGAGGATAAGGCTGCAGAACCTTGCCTGGACTTTAGCCTGAATGCATTTAGAGGAAACAAAATGATAATTCTAGGGGTATACACAGCCGGTATCCTTGAAGTATTTGATTCAAGTAGGTATTAAGATGACTCTGTTCCCCAATCAGCTTCGTCAAAAACTTACGTGACGAACGCACGTAATCAAATTCATACGCATCCTTCACGTTGTTTTTTGGGTTAATCAGCTTGCCAATTGACTTTTTGGCAGCCTGGTAAAGCCCCATTGTATTGAGGTGTTCTGTACATTCTTAGTTAGATCTAAAGCACTTTCAAGTTGTATTAATATCAGCCATCAAGTTCACCGTAAAAACTATGGCTGAGTGCCGGACTAACACAACCAGTGTGACAACCCAACTAAATACTAAAGAAAACATTTTACCTCGGGCTAAGTATGAGTATTATTGGTATTTTAGTTCACTTTCGAAAGCTATTCCATACGTGATACATTTTTAAAGTTCCGCCAACGTCCTCACAGATTCAGTAGATTTTACCTACTTGTTGTGTAACCTGATAAGTCATGAGAAAAATGTTTTTCGTTTTACCTCTTTCGTAAATTCGTTGGATAATTTCTTAACTGTTGCAACTGACAATAGTAAGGAACTCGGACAAAATAATCAGCACAGAATATTATAAAAAATGTGAATGCTGGTCGTTGGCTTGTTTGCTGAGCTCGGCAGTTTGATTGTAAACGTTTCATCACCAATCGAGGTGACATCATCAGTGCCTTATTGGGGAGCGTAGTAGTGCGTAGCGGTGGGTTAGTAGTTGTGCGTGTTTTCGTGCTGCTATCAGGGGAGGACCTTTGATCGCGATTAGTTGTTCGGTGGGGCGATCCCATTAATTGATCCGTTGTCCTGTGTTCCCATTCGCCGATGCCCACGTGACCTTTGAGCTTGGCATCCCCTGACGTCGTAATCTGGTCGATTCTGGAGTGACCTTTGTCCTTTTGAGTCCCGGGTTGTGACCTTTATGGATTTGCCTCCAAGGAGTTCCTTGCTTCTTTGTTTGTGAATCCAATATTCGGTCCTCCTTGAGTTTTCCGGTTGAGATGTTGGTCTTTTGCACTTTGGTGTGCGTAAATTGGGTCGAGTTCGATGCACCGGTTGATCGAATTCGCCGTTGGGTACCTCGCTTCCAGAAATTTTCTCCCGTGTCTAGTGCCTCCGTATGCCAAAATTTTTGCGTTTTCCAAATTTAATCCGTGGCCTTCTTGGTCCTCGTGTATGGATATCAAAGACAGGGAGTCAAGCCTCCTGACGGCCTCGTTATGTTCCTTTATTCATGTACATAGACCCTCCCAGTTTGTCCGACGTAAAAGTTGTTGAAGTTGTTGCAGTTGAGTTAGTATATCACATTGTTCTTCTTGGGTTTTTCCGGGGTCTAGTGATTAATTTCCTCTGTAGAATGTAAATGCGTGAGATACACTGTTGTCTTTGCCGAATATGTGCGCTACGGATATCCGTCCGTCGTGACTTCAGTGATACAACCAAATATCCCAAAACAAAGGGTCGGACCAACGCACGCTCAGAAATCCTTCAAAACGGTATTTTCAATGATTTGTCTTATACGATCTTGATAATGTAGAAAGTTCATGTTGCCTTGAGATGCTACCACTAACAAAAATATAGCAGAGGCTTGCGATGTGCCAAACATTGGTTGCACAGATGTGTTTCTTGTTTGTCATGTCGCTTTGGGCTAGCTCTGGGAGCTTGATGGATGCCGTGCAAAAATATTTTGTCAGTACGCATGCACCGCACTTATAACCAGATTGATGAATATCCAAGAAAAATTATGCGGAGCAATAGTGACAAGTGCATTGAGTTATATTCGAACGCCTTTGAGCTACAAAACTTTTCAAAACCCTGAATAAATTTGGATCTGAGGCTAATACAACAGAAAGCTGTTGGTGATGCCCAAAGATTTTACGGTGAAGCGTTCCAGTGATTTGACTACTTTATTGCATAACCAAGACGATACAAAACCGTTGCTTCATTGAAATGAAACCAGCAAAGTTTCGGGCAAATTTATTCACCCCAATTTTTAACCGGATATACAAACAGAAAGAATAGTCAGTGAAAATCATGGAATACTGCTCGTCATCATGTTAAAGTTTGTCAGCAAACAAGAGGTATATTTTGACGTGCTGAAGATCTGCCCAGCCAAAAAGCAATGTCGAAGTTCTGCAGCACATTTTGCTAAAGAATGTTAGAAACAAAAATATTATTGTTTTTTGGGTTCCTCTTCTACACAATTTGAGTTTGTATATAATTACTGTATTCTGAAAACCCAAAGTTATTACCGTTCATCCCCATAGAAAACCGCTTTTGTAGTCTCGTTATTCCATAGGACTCTGAAAGGTTGATATTTTGCAGTTATTCATAATGTACTTTTTAGAGCATAAATTCCTCAGTGTATCCCATCTCTCGTCTAACCGCTACAAAAGCAAAGCCCTGATCTACAGAGTAAAATTCACTACTACACAAAATTCCGAAAGTATGTGACTTCCTCTAACACTAACATATTATCTTTCCTTTGTTTCTGACCGACCGCCGGATACCACAAAAACATTGTTATTTAATCCGTGGGAACGAAATTCATTTCCCTACCTACGTCACATTGAGATCAAACCCGCCCAAACTATGCTTATCAATTTTGGCAACTTCGGGGCATGTTGTGTATTAACTCACTTTACTTGACATGTCTCATTTACATAAAGGCCTTGAAACGAAGTCTAGCATGGGCTATCCACTCACAAAGCTCCCGTTTTCCTACTGGATAATAGAAATACAGTTTTCGTTTCCTCTGAAGCTGTAATGACAACTTGTTACAGAGGTTAGCTTACGGTCAGCACATTCAAAGAATTTGTGATAGGAATCTTAAGGGTCCAAACGGACTTGGGTGTCACATTTGGAAATCAGAAGTATGCGGTTAAGCTGACGTAAATATATAAGGGACTGTGCCTTTCCGTTCGCGTGCTCCAATTTTGAACACCCTTAGTGCATGTTATCTTCTAGTCAAAACATTTTGTCTTACGGTGTAACTTATCACCTCTAGGTCCATATGAACTAATCACTCGCCCTGGGGATGGGCACAAGGTGGTGGGTGCTTCCAAGTGTAATATAATGCTTTTACCACAGTAAAATTGTCCGATATAATTCGTAGACATTGTACCTCAGTATCATGACTGACATACTGCCTGAACCAGGAGATAACTTTAACAGACGAGACCGAAGTATATTCCCATTATCAGGGGGAAATTTTCATGAAAAGTTTGAGGTGATGGACCGACGACAAAGTTCAGTTTTCAGTGTGTTCAAATCAAAACAACTAACAGAACTAGCCGGAAACGTTTATGCAAGTTGAAAAAAAATGGGGTGCTCTTTTTCAATGAAGCCTTTTCTGGCTTAATTACTCTCCTATGTCCATAAACTTATGAATTTTTGATGCGCCGGACAGTGGACTAGCAAGGTAAAAAAGGCTTATCTCATGGGATAAGAATTGTTGAACAACAATGGTCAAATTAGACAGCAAACGAAAGTAGGGAAGCACAACTATAGAATTAGAATTACTTCGGATTCCGACAAGAACCTGTTTGAGCTGGAAAAAACTGCATGGCCGATAATGTAAACTGTGCATGTCCAAAAATATTGAAGGTTAAGACTAGACTTGACAGCCTCACATGTCACTTATACTGGGTACACCAGTGGAGAGAACCTCATCCAATAATTTGGTAAGCAGAGAAGACAGACTGACTGCTAGAATCTTGTTGAAGTTAGTTAAGATTTGGCGGGTAGGCAATAGTTAGGCACTCAGTGCCCTTTCGATAAGGGTAAGAAACAAACATGGATAGTTGGATAATTTCAGGGACAGACAAACTCGACCATGACTTTCATGATGGCCTAAACAAAAACACTTCAAAACAAAATGGATTTCCAGAATGCAGCTGTGCTGCTCCCTTAACTCATTAGAAGTAATCAGTTTACTACCTTGATTTGAAAAACATGGTGGACGGAATTTGATAACAATTCTCAAACCATCCGCCACATTTGCCAATGTTTATCAAACTAAATTATTGCTGTTTAAGTAAAAGGATAAGCCTAACTGATGGTTTTGTGAAGTATAAGATCACTAAATCAAGTTTACGGACTACAATGTATAATAGCGCTGGAGCAACAAACTACTGAACAAGAGTTCGGATAGCGTGACTACTTTACAGTACTAAATCCTTACGGAGGCACATTTCTCCTACTAATTCATCGTTTTATCATCCACGGTAAACCACTGAGCGCAGTGGGTTAATATTTAATTCCATAAAAAATAAATGTTCCTTCTTTGCCACCTAGGCACCTTGCACCACAACACACTTACACACATTATTTAACTGTATTACATTTTTTGCTTAAAATCCGTTCGAAAAGGGGGTGAACGAGGAGCAAAAACAGTAATAGCCGTGCAGGAGACTTGTCACATCAGTAGTCCCCAGGGCTTACTTTTGTAAGCACATATGTGTACTCTACCAAAACAACAAGTTTAATGATAACAGCACCCAAACACTTCTTCCCAGGTTCGAGACGGCATCCTTTTATCAAAATCGCGGGCGGTAAAGTTCCACGATTTGCAGGATTCGTGAAATAATGTCCACAAAGCTCGGTTCAAGGTTAACTTGGTGTAGTATTAGAGCATCATAAGCTGAATTCCGTTCACTCGCAGTGTCTATTCTACAAAATCTGTAAATACATAACTTACAACATGATCGTGTGTTCATTTGATTTTTAAAGGGATTCTCAAATTTCTAAACGTCCCTTGCGACAAAAGTAGATATTCGACCATCTCAAAAACACCAAGTATGACAAACAATTTCACTTAAAGAGCTAAACTGCTTTCTTCCGTAGATCTGAGGCAACATGTATAAAAAACCCTCGTTCTTGATTATCAAAGTTCAAGAGAGTTCTCCATAATGTAACTGCTGTACCGGCACTTCAGAATGAATTACAGCCATCGCAAAAATGGCCTCGCACTGCTTGGCAAAAACAAATAAAAAACGAGTTTCGTTGGACAAATCTGGTTCCAATGCCTTATTTTAAATTTTCATCTGGAGGAGTGTGGATGGATGAGAAAATAAAACTAGTTTCCTATCAAGTAAATACAAAGTGAGCAATTTTTGGCTGTCGATGATTAATGCTTTGGGCTGAGCATTTAAAAAGAAATTCCCATTTATTCCAACGCGGTATCATGTGTTCAGGTGACATTTCCGCATACACGGTCTACGTCAATAAAGAGCGAAAGGCTCCTAATGACTAACTTCTGTTTATTTTGAAGTCATTTTTCAGCATAATGGCAGAAGTTATGAATATTTTGCTGGCACTGAAACATGCCTGTGACCTTTGTTCACCCATCCTAAACACCGAGCACCAAGCAGCTGCTACTACTTCGTGGTTGAGGTTTAGTCTATGAAAGGCTCTATGTGAAATGTCTCTCAGAAAGTAAAAACGTTCCAGGAACGCAGCAGGGGTTGCCGTAGGAGGATCATCTACCTTTTCGATGATCATCTAGAATACTTGTGTCTTTCGATTACCGTGATTTGGGAGGTAACTCTGTCCCAGCCGCAACCTCCCGAAAACAATAATTTGTGAAACCATTAGATCGCATCGTATTAACTCTAGTGACCAGAACCAACACACAATTCTGTTCCCACCGACTCAAAGAACAAAATGTGATAAACAGCAGCGCTACTTTGCCGTCAGTTTCCATTGATATTAAATGGCCTGTTCGGTCTGTTCAACGAAACCGAATCGGGGAGCTCGTTCGTGTCACATAGGTCAGCTGATCGATGGATATATTGAGCTGAGTACTGATATCACTCGTGCGTATGAGCCAACTGTAACCTGTTTGGTAGAAAGCCCCTTCCTCTTCTGCAGAGGATGATTCAAATAGAGGGGCCCGCTTCATCAGTTACATGCCGGCCGGGCGTTTGTGCTCGATTTGACCTTGTATTTTTTCCTCACTTCCCAACTAGAGCCCTCAATGCGTCAGTTTGTCTGGAGAAAGTTAAGGTGCCACAGAACCGCTTAGAAGGATATGTCTGGTATACTGTTTCCGCTGTTGAAAAATGCATCTAGTTTCTACGTTCAGTAAAGCTCACAGCTTACATAATCATGTTTAGGGCAAACGCTCATTTGTATATCGATTTTTACTACTAATTTAACTGTGATTCGGACAAATCGGTCAACTGGGATTTTCCTTACCAAAGCTTTTAGAGCCAAGACTCTGCACAACTAAATAGATGCATTGTTCAATGGTTCTCGTTTGATTAGCGTTAATAAACATATGAAGGGTGCCAAATAATAACGCAACACTCCATGGAACCTCACCTCCAAAGACAAAGACTCCATTACGTTGTTCAGCAGCAGGCCATCATTCACACCCGAAGATAACATTAAATTTTCTTAAGCTAGCGTACTATTCATAAGATTTCGGAAAACTCCTCGACACCCTATGGCCGGCTGAATCCTACTTGAGCGTCATCAGGTGGGTGTGGTTCCCGGGCTTCAAAAAACCTTACGTTCCCGAGTAATAAACTCATTTGCAACCCAATTTGGTTTTCGCGAGAGACTCAACTGAATCTCTCGTTAATGACAGTCTACAACTGAAATTGCTGCACACAGGCCGCCTAATGTTTCAGCTGGTACAATATTCGAGACATCGCAGTACAACCCCACCGGGAGAAAATGCTGTCTCTGTTGTCTTCAGGTAAGGTTGCTGAAAACTCTTCGAGAGCCCGACCGGTTTCGCCCTTCTTGGGACTCATCAGGTAGGCGCAGTCCCTTCCAAATGCAATTTATTGTATCAGTTTATTCATTTCAAATTACAGTGAAAACCAGCTTGACCTGCAAATGAGTGTATTTCTAGAAAACAGTGCAATTTGGGTTCAAGAAGATCATAAGGTTGACGGAAACTCGGAGACTGCGCCCACCTGATGAGCCCCAAGAAGAGCAAAACCGGTCGTGGGCTGTCGAAGAGTTTTCAGCAACCTTGTGAGTCGTTTCTTCTATGAAGAAAACCATGCATTCTCATTTGAAACAAAATTGCATGTAACTGGTGAAATACATTCATTTACAGATTACACCGGTGTGATCTGACAATGAGTCTTCAGTCATCCTATGAGTTGCTTGTTCTCCAAAAAGCATATACCATGATTTCTAGGATATCTTGCCAACTGAAATATGAGGCACGCTGCGAACAGCACTTCTAAACTGAAGAATATCTTAGACAATATAATTCTTTTGACCTTTTATTAATACTGCTGTAATTTGCAAATGAGCGTAGTTTGTCAATAATAATATGAACGTAATTTGTTCCAATGAGCTTGCTGCCCAATAAGCTAACATAAACTCCATGGTCTTCTATATTCTTCACAGAACATTGTATATGTTGAAAATCTTTGAAGCATCAAGCAAATTTAGGTAGAAACATACTTCCAATTTTCAGAAACAACGAGCTCTCTACTCATGAGTATTGAAGTCATCTAACTAAATAAATAAATACATTTACAGGACTGATTGCGCATTTTTCCTCCAACCGCAATGAATAAAAGCGAGCTTTACTGCACTGTAATAAAATCATATTCGATGATACTATGTTAATTTCCCTCATTGCAATGCAAGCTTGCCAAAAGTTAGGCAAAAGGAAATTTACGGCGCAAATGGGACGTTTCTCTCCTGAAAGTAGGATACTTGAAGCCACTTGCCGTTGAGGGCTCTCTGATTGGATACCTCTCATGAGGAAACAAAAAAGGAAAGCACCTTCGGCTGATTACTTCGGGGCTCGCTTCAGGGAATAATTGTCAGAACATTGTTCTATTAGGTTACGTGCAAAATAACTGGCAACATCTCTGGACCAATAGTCTTCTTTGCTGTATCCGCTGTGGGATATTCTATCGACCCGATGACGCCGAACCCGTGGTGCAGTAAAACTGTATTAAGAATTCGAAACCGAAGCACGATTGGACTGTAAACAAAACGTAGCCTTAAGAACTGAATTAACAGACTAAACATCTTTTGTTTGGGAAGTAAGTCCTTTTCAGTAAAAGGCTGAAAAATTACGGTGACAATTCGAGCTGGAATGAACGAATACTCTTTCGTGCACATAACCGTTCCAACCTCGATAAAATACCTTTTCGCTGGAGATGTACAATAAATGCCGTCTGGAATGCGTCCACATAACGGAACTCATTTCTTCTAGGTAAAACCTGGTGCTTCCACTTTCAAGAGACCTTCCTTTTGAGCCACGTGCATGTCCTAGTAACATACACTTTGCTGTCACACTGTCTCCACAATCTGAGCAAACTCCATGGATATAAAAAATGTTTGGATATTCGAAATCGAAACCATCATGACGCACGCAAATGAACGTGAATTGACCAACCTGGGTGCAAATGTTAAATCCTGTTAGCCTTAACAAAGATTCACATCTATAGCGTTAGGCAGTTTACTGTTTGTAAACTTAAACATGCGCTCTCCATCTCCTACGCAAATTCACGGACACGTAACGTATCAGAGATCTTCATCAATGAGGTGAAGTAGTATTAATTAATAGGCAGTTTAACCTCTAAAATTTTGTGAAAATGGATATGTCCATTTAAAAATTCCACCAGCGCGGCTGTTTCAAAAAATTGCATGTAGTTTGCTCTCAGGTGTCATTGCATCATTTTGAAAATCACCAATGACGTGAGAAGTGCAAAATCTGTACTGGTTTATTGACGACTCTGATCTGTTGGTCATTAGCTCCGCATTTTTCAAGGACTGCCTGGAAGCTTTGAGTTGGTGATCAACCAACACCTGTAATTCGTATTCCCCTTTTCAATTTTCATCTTCGTATCCTTACTCGGTATTTTTCAACACGGGTCACAAACAAAATGGAAGAGAATATACTGGTCCCTTCAAATTGTGCGGTATTCTTGTTGTACCGAAAACATTTTTTCGGCTGTCCCGTTTTGAGCCGGAATAACGTTTGGACCCCAAAACGAATTGTGATCTTTGTAAGGTATGTAATGTGACTTGCCTCTACACCCTGTGCTCTCAAAAGTCAAAGAATTTGATCACTTTGGTTCCGTAAAGATTATTGTCATAAAAATCCGTCACTCTTCAATCTAGTGAGTACGAATAAAAACCTTTCGTCTAACCCAACAAGACCACGCAGCATAGAGAAATGAACACAAAACAGTAAACCAGGTCATGCCATATTCCATTCCGTTCAGAGTAACCATAACAAGTGAACAGGTTTGTCAACACGAAAACGCTTCGCTCTACTTGGTGGTTTAAGTAGTGAGGTGAGTCTCCGTATTGCTGTTGTTGTATCGGCAAAACACTGTCTCCCTACAGAGTTGCTTGCTTTTACCTGGTCTCCGAAATACATTTTTCTTGACCAGGTAAGGTGGCAGATGATTCGAGTGTTCTAAGAAATGTCACGCATTAGGACCATTTATTACGTCTGCGTGACAGAGTAAAAGAATATAGACTGTTGGAAGTCCCGTTTCGTCGTTGTATTATCAACTGCATACTGAAACAATCAATTTTTCTCAATTTATTTGGGACTCGAAGAATGAACGCAGTAAATCAGTAATTAACTCTACTCCCAGACTATGGTTATGCGCACATAAAAACATGGTCACAGCGGTAGATACATCGGCCTGACGGATCCATGTATTTGTTATCAGCACTCATCGTAATGTTTCTATTTGGGTTGTATTATTTGATCGTTTTAAGTGAAGTTGAAAAAAAAGATTTTACATCCCAAGCCTGTCTCCTTACTTTGTTAGACACTTTTGTTTAGAGCCAAATGACACTTTGCCTCCAGTGCGGAACCAGGAAGACAACTCTTATTTCGAACTCAAAGGAAAGCAGACGAGCTAATTTCCGGCTTGAGTGAAATTCGAAACATGATCAAGGCTGGTGCGAAAAAGATACAGTGATCTCCTTGGAACCGAATTATTTATCATTGAACTGAGTTCATCAATATTACAATGAACGTTTTGAAAGAGTCGAGTTGCTGACAGGTTCTAAGGATTTGTTTACCAACAATCGATTTCCAAACAATCAATGAAATTCTGTGGAATTTCTGAGTTACCCTTACCGATTAGGTTAACCAGCTGCACTTCTGCTTCAAACACCGAAACATTTCATGGTAGTCACTACCCCAGCAATTTCATTGACGTTGGTTTTATTAAGGTGACTAAATTCTAGTGCGTTTCCATGCTTAAACGCACCGACTGCTTTATGTCCCTTTCTACCTTAAACGTCCCATTTTTTCTCCTGCATCTAATTTAGTATTGAAATTTAGCTGTCAGCGGTGATTTCAAAGGACCAAGTCGCATAGAAACAAATATTGGTTTTCTTTAAATAAAAAAGCAGTTGGCTGTTTACCGGCATTGTGGTCGACGAACCGAACTTCCGGCTGAGTGACCATTTGATGAACCAAATTTTCAGTGAGTCTAATAACGAACTGACTACTGATGAACTTATATTGTCCCATACTTTCTGATAAATTGCTACGAATTCCATTGCCTATTTCAGCTTTTAGAACAAAAAACTAATTTCCTCAGGAAGAGGAAAAAAGTAAAAGTCCTTTGCTTTTGGTTGGATATGATCCACTGGACTGACAAATAGGTCCAACGACAAATGCCATTTTATAGCTGACACGAAGTAATGCACTGGTGATCTATCGGAAGTTTGCGCATTGTCAAACGCCAATTATCAGGAACGACCGAATGATAAATGATTCATGAGCATGAGACCGCAACGGGTTTCTGGGTCGGATTCC